AAAAAAAAAAAAAAAAAAAAAAGCTGACCTCATTGTCAAGAACAGGAACCCAGGCAAAACGACAGTAGGAAACACAGTCAGTGACAGTAAATGCCAACTTCCCAAGTCCACTGCTCCGGGCCTGGGTGAGATAACCCCCAAGGGACCCTTGGCAATGTCTGCAGACATTTTTTTTGATTGTCACAAGAGGACGTGGAGGGTGCTACCCGTATCTAGTGGGTAGAGTCTAGGGATAGTGCCAAAAATGCCACAGTGCCCAGAAGGACCCCCACAACAGAGAATTATGGAGTTCAAAATGCCAGGAGTGTTGAGGCTGAGAGTCCCTGACATCTAACCTGATGGGCCTGACTTCACCTCTTGTCACCACGAACTACTGATGGAGGTTGGGGGGTCCTGCCAGGCCTGTATTATGAGCAGGGCGCTGTTGACACTACACACTGCTTCTTCCTTAGGGACAGCAGCAAACTGGCTCTTTCCTGGCATTCAGCAAACACCACAGAGACTTTTTTTTTGGAGACAGAGTCTCACTTTGTCACCCTCAGTAGAGTGCTGTAGCATCACAGCTCACAACAACCTCCAACTCTTGGGCTTAGGCGATCCTCTTGCCTCAGCCTCCCGAGTAGCTGGGACTACAGGTGCCCATCACAACGCCCCACTATTTTTTGTTGCAGTTTGGCCGAGGCTGGGTTCGAACTCACCACCCTTGGTATATGGGGCCGGCGCCCTACCCACTGAGCCACAGGCACCGCCCACCACCACAGAGACTTTACTGAGATGAGGGAAGAGCATTCAGCCTGGCTGCCCTTTCCAGCTCTCACTAGAAGGCTTTTGTTCCTCCTCCCACAGGTCCCCTTCCAACTATCCTCCTCATCACCCCCCGAACACTGTTTAGACAAAAATGAAAGCAGCATTGGCAGACCCCAGTCAACCCCATAATCACTGCTTAAAAATATGACTTCCATAGATAACTTGGCAAAATACAAAAAAAAAAATATTCTTAATCTCTGAGCATAACCAGATTATCCTATTTCCCTCCTCTTGTAGGAATAATATTGTATTTTTAGCCTGACCGTGGCATTTTTTTAGCACAGGCCACTGCTTCCTAAATGTCAAACGTGACGTGGGCCATCTACAAACCTCTTTAACAGAACTGACTTCAGACTTTAAGTTGATTCCCTGTTCGTCACTTAAATGAATTCTAAAAAGAAAGTTCTTGCCATTATTGCAAGGAGAAAACAAGTATCATTTGGCACAAACAGAAGGAACCATAGAAATAATTGCTAAGACTTAAATGTCCGGCTGAGAGCCTCCCAAAAAAGGGATTGCTGGCAATGTTTCCCACGACCAATCTTTAAAGACGTGTATCAATCTTCTAAATTTACATAAATTAAAGAAAACAACCACTATTAATAAAATCAGCACCATTACAACTGCGTAGGTACAATTATATTACAGCTGGTCTTTCTTTCTTTTTTTTTTT